CTGCGGTCCTGAGTGGGCACGATTGCAGACTCCCTGATTTTGGGAGAATGGGAATTGCTTTCAGCAGAGAAGAGCTTCTGAAGGCTCAGCAAAGTGATCCGTTTTGTCGCGAAATGTGCGACGGTCTCAGAGAGGCGGAGCGCCATGACGCTGCTTGTCCTGCAGCGGGCGCCAATAGCGACTGTCTCAGCGAGACGGAGCGCCGTGACGCTGCTTGCCCTGCAGCGGATGCGAATAGGGAGCTCAAACCAGCGCGTGTCGCTGAGTCTTTAGCGGATTCATATTTGCTGGACTATGACGGGCTCCTATTGAAGTATATAGCCACTGACGAGTCCATCGACTCATTTAAGGTGGTTATGCCCAAAAGTTTGGGAGCCGCACTGTTGCGATCCTCTCATGAAGAACCCATGGCCAGTCACCTGAGTGGCTCGAAAGTTTTTGCAAAACTGAGCCGCGTTGTGACCTGGCCCGGCATGAAGCGTCACATTTTTCACTGTTGCCGTTCCTGCCGCGTCTGTTAAACGGTGAAATCAAGGGGTTGTAAACTGCCCGGTCTGATGAAACCGATTGTCAGTGAGCGTCCGTTTCAAGTGGCCACCTGCGATCTAATGGGACCATTTCCCAGAAGTAAGCAGGGGTTCATTCACCTGATGATAGTTGTTGATCACTTTTCTAAATGGGTGGAATTGTTCCCTCTTCGGAAGGTGACAGCAAGCGGTGCTTGAGAAGCTGCAGGAAGTGTTTTGCCGGTTCGGCTTCCCGGAAAGGCTCATCACTGACAATGCTTCATATTTCACCGCTCGGTTGTTTGGTGTCACGTGCCGTTCCCTCGGAATTGATCACTGCACCACTTCACCCTACCATCCCCAGTCCAATTTGACGGAGCGCATCAATCGTACGCTCAAGCCGATGTTGGCGACCTTTGCCGAAAGTTAAATGGACTGGGCAGACCATTGAGTGAGCTCGCGTTGACTATTCGAACATCCAAAAGTCGCTCAACTGGTTTCTCACCTGCCTTCTTAAATTTTGGAAGAGAGTTGGCAAATCCGGTGACCAGCGTCATTCAATGCCACCTCAAGGATGAGAAGACGCCGGCAGACTGCTTACGCATTGACGCTTCGGGACAGGCTTTGTCGAGCTTTCTGCAAAGCAAGGCAAAGCTTGGCGTCAGCCAGGGCTCAGCAGAAGGCCCAATATGACCGCAAGCATGGCGACCTAGTTTTTGAGGTTGGCGATCTTGTCCTGAAGCATAACCACGCTCTTTGCGATGCCAGTAAGAAGGGGTTCTCAACCTCGCTCGCTCTTATGTGGTAAGTGGCTTGGTCCGTACCGAGTGGAGAAAGCTTGCACTCCTCCCGCGTACTTGCTGAAAGATTCCCATTCGGGAAAACTCAGTCGTACCGATATCGCAGGCCTGAAACTTTTTGTATCACAATCTGACGAGATCGCACCAGTGCCCTGCGATACCTCACGCAAGCAACGGAGCACACCCGGAACGGCGGACCGCATTTAGACCCTGCACCGGTATAATTTGAGGAAGCGGTCACCTTTGCGATTTCGCGCTGGACGGCGGACTTCTCCGCAACCGAAGGCCCTCATTTTACTGTCTAGCCTCAGTATAGGTTAGGTTCTTTACGGCCTTTTCTCGTAAAGAAGTTGACCCCGCCCAGTTTGCTGCCAGTGTTTCTTCTTCAAGTGTTCATGTGTATTTTATGCTTTTATGTTTCTTTTGTCTAATATTAAGTGCTCATTTGTATTTAATGTTTCATGTTCTTTTGGCCATATAATGAGTGTCATTATTGCTTTGTTTTACTTTTTTTCCGTGTTTATTTTGTCAACCAGCGACGAGTTGTGACCTTGAACATTAGTACTTATGCGTGGAGAAAGGAACGAAGGACGCTTTGCGCCTATGCTCGCGCAGCCGTCGGCGGTGTGTGTGCATGCCTAAGTGCATGACGCTTCAGTGTGTGCTCGTGAAAAGTGCGCGTCGTGGTTTCATTCCGTCGACGTGAACACTAAAGATGCTGGGGGCACTGACCTACTGACGCTGTGCTCTGCTCTCGGCCATCGCGGAGAAGCCCTGCTGCCTTTTCCACCATGGCTCCTGCGCGAGCCCAGCTGACAGCAGCTATATGCTGCCGGCGAATGCCAGGGCGCCTCGCAGCTGATTCCGGTTCGGCCTCCCTGATTTCTGGCGAGGCCCGGCTTCCCAGTGAGGCTCCCCGTCATCCATCGAGAATTGCGGGGCCTCCAAACCACAACCGAAGCCGGGTTCGTCGGACACGCTGACCAATCATCAAGAGCAGCTCGAACCATCATAAAACCCCCCTTTTGTGCCTCTGACCTCGCACACGGGCATCGCACCCAACGGGCATTGTCACGCTCTTTCGCCCCTCCGCGCCGTGGATGCTATCCCACCTTAGCACTCCGAACACTAGCCGTACTCCCCTGTGCTCCCTTTCGCAAACATTTTATAGTGTCATGTGTTTCTTATGCTATTGCTATTTGTCCTTAGTCATCATTTTTCTTAGCAGCAGTTACAGGGCCGGACTGAGGTTAGCTGTTGCCCACAGCGGTGTCATTTTAACTGCATGGGGGACGTCTGGCTGCCTTTGCAGACCGGTAAAAGGCAAATTTAGGAGAGAGGAATGTGGGAATTGAGGCTAGCCTGCCGCCTTTGCGCGGGCTTTTTCACCTATTTCTGCCGTTCTCATGTCCCGACATGACTCCCCTCCTCCACTGTCTGCCGCACTGGGAGAGTGAGGAGTGACACTTAACCTCTCTCACTCAGTAGCGAATGTCAACTGTGGCGCTACGCGCAGGGTCTCTCGGAACATTTCGCACGCGCGCATTGGGAGTGAGTGAGATTTCTCTGGGACAGCTGAGGATGAGCACGCATTCTCCTTTTTCGTCCGTCGACTCCCGTTGTTTGGGGCTCGTCAGACTTCGCCAACGGCGCCTCGCTCACTTTGTTGTTGCCCCTTTGCGTACGCTGGGCCGAAGAGCGGTACGGTGTCCTAGTGCGTGGTCAAACTGCGCCGACCCGTATCTCTCCGAAGCCAACGCGAGCGCCTTTGCCCTCGCTCGAGCAACCGGACCTTTGTCCCGGTGTCTCCGTGAATCACTTTTACCACGGAGACGTGCTCGCGACACCCCTGTGTAGTGCTTCTCACCCGTGGCGTGGATAAGCCCAATTGCTTTCCCGCTGTGCCATTCCAACGCGCTGTGCTGCATTTTGGTGTTGCCACAGACAATAAAGTATTGCGACCTTGAGCAGTATCGTGTTCTCGCCACAGCGATGGTTAACGCGTGCCCTGCGGCTCGCTAAGACCAGACCCACGCTAGTGGCCATACTCCTTCGCGATACGTATCACTACAGGTTTTATGTCCCAAAACCATGATAACCTTATGAGAGACACCATAGTGGAGGGCGCTGGAAATCCTGACTATCTAGTGTTCTTTAACATGCACTGAAATTGCGCATCACACAGGCATCTGGCATTTTGCCTCCATTTAAATGCGACCCCCGCAGCCGGGATCAAACCCGTGACTTTCAGGTCAGCATCTAAGCACCATTGTCACTGCTTCACAGCGACGGAATAGAACTGTGAAATGAGCAGGGTAAAAAAATTATTTGTACAGCATCAAAAAGGTGAAAACGATAAGACTGATATTAAGAGGTAGATTTTTCAGATCACGCAATACAGATTCCAAGACAAAGAGTCGTTTATTACCTTATCGAAAGACTTCATCAGTAAATAGGTGCCAAGGGAAAGGAACTTCTGAGCCATATACCCAGTGTACATGGCTCTGTGAAAATGCAGTCAATGATTGGACAGGATTAGGTGCTATCACAAGATAAGGGAATTGACAGACATAGAATGGAGTTGGTGATCGTAATTGAAGATTGCTCATTAAGTATTATTACCTAATACTCTATTAAATCGCAGAAAATAAAACAGTGAGAAGAGCACTGTTGTTTGTGTCCCCCTTTTTCTAGTGCTCTGTCTGTCACACTGTTTTTTATTTTCCAAAATGTCGTACCAACACGCCCAAGCATCCACTTTAGCTCAACTTAATCCTGAGGTTTGATGTGTCAAAACCACAACGATTACGATGCCAGCCATAGTGGGAGTCCACCAATTAACTAAGAGTTAATACCTAATGCTCTACTTAAATCTGATGTTTTATGTGTCGAAACCACAGTATGATTATGATGCCAGTCATAGTAGGAGGCTCTGGATCAATTATTAACACCAAATGCTCCACTTAATTCTGAGGTTTTATGTGTCAGAACCACAAAATGATTATGATGCCTTCCATAGTGTGAGCCTTCGGATTAATTATTAATACCTTATGATTTACTTAATTTTGAGGTTTTATGTGTCAAATACACCATATATTATTATGATGCCAGCTGTAGTGAGAGGCTCTGAATAAATTTTTGCTGCCTGGTGATTTTTAATGTGCACCTGAATCTATGTAGTACGTACGAGGTAATGTACAAGCAATCAGCTTAGTCTAAGTAATGTCTGCCTTTGTATAACTACAAGTCATGAACCATGATGTTTTATATAAATAAAGCACCAAAGAGGCTCTGATTCCCAGGTAATCTGTTGATAGTATGCTTTGTTACATGTTAAGGTTGTCTCGCAGGGAACCTTATTAAAGTAAATTCACACTCTAACAGCACGCTACTATGTCTAGGGCACGATACATTCGTACTTTGAGGCACACACCTTGCTTGTTTTTCTTCCATGGCATGCACAGGTCTTCAAACTCAATGCCTTATTAGACAGCACCTTCCAAAATAGTGCCGTTATGGCAGCATAAACAGCTCCAATGGTGCAAGAAGTGATCTTCGACGAACACTACACCTTCGCATAGGTTTTAAAATCGTCACAATGTTTAAAATGAAAAAATAAAATTGACGTGTTTGGATGTGATTTATCTAGCTTTTGAATGTGGTACTCAATGAGTACAGGAGCCGGCACACTTACCTGAGAAAAATGAAGATGGATTTTCTGTAGTCAACTTCATCGAGCTTCTCATGAAAATCAAGGTAGGGCTTAATGATGTCAATAAGGCCATTCGGCATTTTGTCAATCTCATCAAAAATAAACAATGACCGTCCACACTCTTTCACCTTTGCCTCAATCTCCTTCTGCAATGTTTTCTGCATAGTGTATACACAAGAATACAAAACTGCCATTAGAGATGAACAGTAGTATTTTAACATTAAATATAGCATTGAGAAAAAGCCAGTGAAATGCACTTGTTCATAAGGAAGCTGTGTACTACATGAGCTTGCATTACCGTTCGGGTGCAGGGCGATTTATTTTTGTGCAAAAAATTCATATCTAATAATACATTAGTAGGCCATGAATTAAAATGCTATTTACTGGTGCTGTGTTCCAGCCTAACCTGTAAGAAATCAGTTTGTTAATTATTTCGATTAGTATTATTAGTGTTCAGCAGGGAACCTACCCATTTTGTGACTGGTAGTGTCTCTCGAGGACATTTCAACATCAACACTGAAGCCATTCAAAATTAGGTTGGTAAGAAGATTTGTATTACTGCCTTATTTGAAAATGAAGAGAAGGAAGCAAGATTGATAGTCAATAGGATTTTTGTGACCACTTGTCAAACAAACACAAATTCTGCCATAATTTAATCAATTAACTCCAGAATAATTGGTGCAAGTAGCCTACACATCCTTCTCAGGCACTGTTGCTGTGTACATCGACAGCTGGACGAGAGTGTACTTAGACATAGGTTTAGTGGCACGACTTGAGTTTGCACAGCTCTTCTGAATATATAAAATAATATCTACGCAACAAATACATGAATTACATTGCATTACATTGCATTAAATTTAGTCGCAACACAAAAAATTTTCCATGCCAATGGCAATGTGAACGATAAAATGCATTTCATCCTGCAAAAAGAAAAAGATAACATGCAGTCATCTGTCTCGCATGTCTTTCCTTGCTTTAACATAGCATGCACAGTTATGGCATTCAAGTTATCAGCTTGATATAGCATTCTAGAAAGCAAAGTTGTGAGGCCATATTTTTCAAGAGAGGAAATGCAAGCAACCCTGATGATTTTTGTTGCTGGAGAGAAAGACATCCAAAAAGACACAACTATATTTACAGTGTGCAACCAAATTATGACACATACACCATGACATCAACAGCACAGCATTAATTAGTTCTCATACTCAGTCCATACACATATACTAAAGCAAACAAGAAGAGAAGAGGCAGAAGACAAAGTCCACTTGCATTTGAAGTGGCTCAGTGCATTTTCATCAACCTTTTTCATAAATTTCTCTTTAAAGGCAGTCATAATATGAGTTTTATAGGTCAAAACCACATTATGACTGTAAGGCCAAGTGTAGTGGGGGACTCTGGATTAATTATTACATGGGGTTGTTTAGTGTGCCCTTAACTCCAAGTACACAGGCAGTCTCGCATCTCACACCAGATTATATGCAGCCACCACAGCCGGGAACAAAGAGCTTAGCAGTACTTCAATTCCCTGCCATGGAATTTGAGCTCTGCAAGGTTACGAGGTAAGACCGAACAGGCCTTACCTGGAAAGCTACTAAGACAGGTCAATGTGCACCTAGTTTCACCCACTAAGGATATTTCTGTATTCTATTGCAGTTGTATATTTTGAAGATATTACAGTTGTATTTGTATATTTTTATTTGCTTCGTAGATGTTTTATTTTGTCACAGTGTTTTTACTGTCTCAGGGTTTCTAAAAAAGATAATATATTTCACTTATCTTTGGCACAACTATATTCAGAATTGTCAATAACGATAAAAATTGTCCAGGGAGAAATAATATAGTTACTATATTTCCCTGTCAGAAGAAATAAGCACATGTGAAGGAAAAAGAGAACAATGGCTTCTGACTATATCATGAAGATACGCTGCAACCCTTTACCTTCAGCTAACTAGACTAGTCTTTCTCCGAGCACTCGCAATTGATAAATTAAGCCACTTGCATTTCTAGAGGCAACCCCTTGGCATTGCTTAGAAAAGACAAACTACTGAAGCTTTATATAGGATATCCTTTGTAAAAAGATATTCCATTAGTAACCAGACTTCAATATAAAATTGTGAGCAACAGTGTCGTGCATGATGGTGTACTCACTCTGTATTTGGGTACCTCATCCTGGTGAGGAAAGTGCTTTGTGGAGACATAGAGGCTGACATACTTGCTGTTCATGCCCTCTTTGTAAAGCGCCTCTGCAATCATGGAGCTGGCATAATTTTTACCACCACCTGTCCAGCCATGAAATGACAGCACCAGGGCTTTCTTTGGTACTGGGTTTTGGAAGTGGTCCTTCAGAGCTCGCACAATGGCACGATGCACTAGTGGCTGTCCATGCAACCGAAACTTGAGCATGTTGTCTAAACCTGCAGCAAAAGAAAAGCATTCGACATCAGGTGATGGCTGTAAGATAACAAGCGTTACGCTTTACATGCGTACAAAACTGCATCTTAGTTTTCCTAAACACTATAATAAGGCAGCTGTCCTAAATATGAAGATCACGAAGTTCAATCAAAACTCGGGGCCAATTCCAATTAAATATAGCCCTAAGGTTTCTATCAACAAGACAACAAATTAACAAGAGGCTTTAACAATGTATATCACGAATCCTCCAACAGAGTAGCTTGTCTAAAGTAAAGTAGGTCTTGGGAGAGATGATACAAACAGCAAACAGGTACTTAGTACAGAACAAGAGAGCTAGAACATACAAACATGTGTAAGATAGTTTTGTAAATGACAAATCTGGTGCGTCAGTATTACACTATGGATTACATATGTCAAATTAGCTATGCACCAGCCCCCCCCCCTTTTTTTCATTATTCATAAAAATAGCGGAATCCCAAAAAGTTCATTTTTAACAAGAAAAACAATAAACATACTGCCAATACATTTTTCAAAAAGCTTTCTCACGATGTCTAGTATACATTAATAAATTTTGCTTCAAATCATCTGCTTTAGGAGTTGCACCTAATTTAAAAAAGACATTGACATTCAGCAATCACTTACTGGTACAGTAAATAAAAGGTTAGAATGATTACACACGAGTACTGCACCTGACAGCACAATAATCTTTTGTGTGCATGGTAACAGCATGCTTGAAAACACACATCATAATGACTACAGGTGCACAGGTAAATTTGCAAGAACAGTTACTACTATGTACCGCAATATATTAGTCAGTATTGTGTGGTTATTGTAAGATTGTGTCAGTGATACAATAAGCGAAATTGCATGCCAATGTGGGACGCTATATTGGTGTACAAAAAGATGGCTTGACCAAGAGCACCAATAAGTAATTAACCAACATTACTAATTAACCAACAATCATCAAACTAAACCAGTATTGTGGCACTATCTTCAGCATTCAATTATTGTACTTTAGCTATATAAAATACCACCAATTTACTTTACATACAAAAGCATACATATAGAAGACCCTCGTTAAATGGAACCTGAAAGGAGCAGGAAAATGTGTTTCATTTAACTGGAGTGCCATTTACTGAGAGATGAACAAGGGTGCAGAATAAATACAAGTATCAAACCAATCGTGCTGGAGGCAGCTGTTCCATTTAGACAGCAGTTACGTTTAACAGATTTCCATTTACTGAAAGTCTACTGTACCAAGAAAAAAAATGCACAACATACGTCGGCCATGGTAACTTCAATGCTGTGACAAGATGATCCCAGGCAGCCCCATGATCATCTCGTCAGGAGCATCAAACGGTAGAATTATAAGCGACAAAAGAACTTTGAATACTGCAAGAAAAGCAGCAGTAGGTGACTAAGCTTATTCTGTTGAATGCAAAGTAAAACAGTGCAACAAAGAAAAGAATCAGTGATAGACAGCTGTCAGCATCACAGCCATTGTATGGCTAACCACCAACGCATTAGGCTGACTGACACACAGATCAATAATCTGCGACACCACGCCAACACTTAGATTTTAGAGATGTGACAAGAGACACTCATCAATTAACCGTTTCTTACATTCTGAAGAAATCATGGCCTCATACTGTTGCCACAACACTCACAGTCAGATGTACTTACGACCATGATTGCATTGTTGCCACCTTAGATAGTAAGTGCACTTTGTTTTGCCACAGTCACTTACACCCCATAAACCAAATAATCATGATTATATTATTATTATTTGGGAAATTGGAGAGTTATAATTATCCCACACCCGCACAAGGCACTACTTCCCCCCCCCCCAAAAAAAAATCAGCAAGAGAACTTGTTGAATGGGTGTCCCAGTGCTACATTTGACTTGTTAAGAGGAAGGCTGAGCCTCTTCTAAAAAAAAATGGAGGAAGGGGCCAGGCCCATCCGAGTTCTACCCTGACTTTAAGCCCTGGCACAGCCATTGTGGAAATGCCCTCTATATATTTCAGTAATGCCAACTTTGAACAGGAGGCCACTGTAATTTCATTCCAGTTATAAATACCTGTTGAATAAGAACATTTGCAAATCATTTTTGATGTACCCGTGAAAGAAAAGCAAATTGAATTCTGGTTCATTTCACCTATTACCAATCCACCAATTACAATGCCTCAAAAGGAATCAGTAAGTCATACACCACTGCAACTAGTCTAGAACTTGGAATATGTTTCAGAAACAAACAACACTGGAACTAGTAGAAAACCTTCACTGGTGCAGCTAAATCAAAGCATAAAACAATGCACAATATCAACTTTAAAGGTCCTTGTAGATATTAAAAAGACTACAAATTTGCAAATTTATAACAAAGGACCGTGGATGTCAGCAGGATTTTGTCTAGGAAGAGGGGGCGAGGTGATGTGGGCTTGGATGGCAGGAAAGTGTTGGTCTGGATTTGGGAAAAGGGGTTGAGGGAGTAAGTGCCCTTTTCGACCAAATGTGTCGACAATTATTGAAAGGGCACTTAAACTACACTACCCAATTTATTTTCCAAAGAAGTGAAAGTACTTCCTAAATAAGATGCAAACAAGGATGTGAAAAGGCACATAAATTGCTTTTGAATTTAGCAACCTCACCGCTGGGTGCCTTGATAGCACAAGGAAAGCACCCAAAGCATGTGGTTCAAGGAATGGTGCAAGCCACAAATGTAGTGGCACCACCCTTTTAAGCAAAAAAAAAATACACCTAGGCAGGTGACATAATTTGAGGGCAAAAAGCCGATGGTCATTCTGGGTGACAGATTTAACCTCTCAAGTTATTTATTATTTTTTTGTTGTTGAAGATTTCTGAACCAAAAGTGCCTATTTTTTATTGCTGATTTCAAATCTGACTGTACTAAAAAGCGGCTAGTCAACGTTAAAAAAATATTTGTACCACATACTTAGTCAAATCAACACAACAAAGTTTAATACTGAACAATACTTGGAAAACCGGCTAGCTGCTGCTGCTAATAAAAACTAAAGAAACTTATAAAGAAAAGAGCTGCAGACACTAAATCTTTCTTCACTTGTGTAGGCTAAGCACCCTTGGACTAGTGTGGAAAATTTCAAAACACAGATTAACACATCACTGGCGAGCACTCGCGATGTTCGCTTCCAAGCTGTCTTCATCATCATCAGAAAAGCTGCTCCATTAGCCTTCACCGCTGTTTTCACTTTCAGACACAAGATAAACATCTGTATCCGAATCATCATCACTCAAAGACGATGACAAATATAAAAAGCTTCTTTTTTTGCATTCACAGGCCAGCTATGCATGGGTTTCCGCAACAACACACCACCTTCTCACGCAAAAATCACACTCCTGTCACAGGAGAAAAATATCATTGAGTAAATGCTCCCATTTAGTAGATGACATGCAATCTAAGCTGTAGACAAGTGCTTATCATCCTGAACGCTACAGGGGAGTACCTATTCCGCTAGAACAAGCTTTGCTTGTCCAAAGCACTTCAGGGGTTAATGTACCTCTTAGGTTTTACATTCTAAAATACCCATATGATCATGAAATACACTTTAAAGAAAGTGCTGATTAAATTTGACAACCAAATATTATTAATGAGCTCCTAGACTTAAGTACAGGTGTTCTCATATTTTACCTCCATTGGGCATCAGAATGAACGCAAAGAGATGGGAAATGCAGCAAAGGATAGCAGGGGATTAAGTGGGCTGATGACATTAGGAACTTGGCAAGCATAAAATGCAGAAATCATATAAAAGGCTGATTCAATTGGTGATTATTGAGGGATGATTTGATTGATATGCGGGGTTTAACGTCCCAAAACCACCATATGATTATGAGATATGTCGTAGTGGTGAGCTCCTCAAATTTCAACAACCTAGAGTTCTTTTAACGTGCACCCAAATCTGAGCATATGGGCCTACAACATTTTCGCCTCCATTGAAAATGCAGTTGCCGCAGCCGGGATTTGATCCCGTGACCTGCAGGTCAGCAGCCGTGTACCTTAGCCACTAGACCACCAGGGTGGGGCAGACATTATTAAGAGAGGCCTTCATTCTGCATGGGGCATAAAATAGGATGATGATGATGTCATCTATGCAACATTGGTAACAATACATGCTCAAATATGGGCTATCTCAAGATGTTATCAATAGACATCATCCATGCAGTTTCCCAGCATTCCTCAGAATCATGCTGAACTCTGCATAAGCTGGTGTTGTAGAGACTGCTCATCCTATGGCTAACCATACTATGAATGGCTATCATTATTGCAATACCTGAAGTGGCACTTGTACAGCCACCCAAAGCTTTAGCTATCGTGCGCGAGCGTTGACTCTTTTGTACGTTGGCGCCGTATGCCGGAGCCAAGTTGCAAACAGGGCTTGAGTAAGCGCATGCCACAAAGCGCTCTCAGCTTGGCCTATCATCTGTTTGGCTTTTCCTTTGTGAGAACGTCGCCTTGTTTGCGATTTGGCTCTGTTTGCAACTTGGCAACGTCATATGGCGCTGACGTACAAAAAAGTCGGCGCTCGCGCACAATTCACCCCGAGATCCTGGTGGCCACTGGCTGAAGCGCACCTAGTGTGGATTGGTCTCAGTATCATCTGCTGTCCACATAAGCTAGCACGTGCGCGTAGGTCATGCTCGTGCTCAAAGGGCGGTTTGTCTCACTCTGTTAGCGCAAAAGTAACTGCTTATGCTTGTGCGTTTGTTGTAGCACTGTCTACAGAAGCATTTGGCCTTATTCGCCTGTATATGTACCACAATAAGATGATATTGAGCACTTGGCGAGAGTGGTGTGTATCGTCGTCGTAGCCACTCTTTGCCAGGATCATGTGTAGATGCCGCTTTTTAGCTGAAGCACATCGCCACATGTGGGTGTAGGTGCCGCTTTTTAGCTGAAGCATGCTGCCAAGTGCACTTTGTGCACTTGGCGTTGTCTTAAACATGACGAATAATAAATATTGTGTGAATGCAGCGTTGTAACAACTCAGGGATAAATGGAAGTTTTGCATTGTTGTTACGTGTCTACTTATAAAGAAATTGTGGCGTTTTTGCTCATCGGTTATGCGACGAGCTGTAATTGCGCTTGAGATAGCCTTGTATTGTACGGTCCTAGTCCCATATTACACTGCTGTGTAGTAAATGCTGACACTTCGGTACTTCAATTGAATGACATGGAGCTGACTAAACTTGAGTTGCCGTGCGCAATTTCAGCATAGGGCGATATTTATACAGACACACCTGTGTTCTTATCAAAGGTGAACATTTGGCAGAAGTCTGCTTGGTTGGGATACAAATGAGGCAATTAGAAAACTTCAACCAAAAATTGTATTCAGAAAACCGACATTTCAAAGCCAGACGAAGTGCTGTAATACAATTTTTAGCTGCAGTTTCCCAATTGCCTCACCCATGTTCATAGCTTTGGGTTCGCTTAAACGAGGCAGGTTGTCAAAATTAATCCAGACGGCGTGCCTCACATAAGTCGTATAATTTCAAGGAGAACATCATATTTTTTTTTACATTATACGGCTGAGCGTTTTTGTGGCGTAGTGCTAGACTATCGGAAGGAGTGAACACACATTCCCTTGAAAAAAAAAAAAAAAACTTTGTTCCTTCGAATATTCGAATTTTTGCATTACCATGATGCAGATAATCAATATAAGAAAGCTGCGGGCTGAGCTATTACCTTTTTATGCCGTTATGGGAGTAAAAACAAGCGCGCTCAAGCGCTGGAAGTCACGTAGCTCTCCTGAATAAACTTATCGACTGCTCTACGTTTATTCCATGATTAAGACGAAAATGCGGATGAGTAATCGCTGTATTTTCATGTTCATTGCCCAAAAATATTGGATTTTTTTTTTAGAGGGGTGAGGAGGGTTGGTATTCACAATTAGCGTGCATGAAGAATGAATTCAGTCATGCTACACCAGTGCATGGTAGACGGGACACAAGCTCAACACCTAAAATAAAATACAAGAAACATGACATGCTGCACTAGTCGCGAAGCGCGAACATCCCTTTAAATGGCAGACTGCGTTTCGGTCACAAGTAATAGGAACGTTTGCAGAGCTTCGTGCATCCGTTAAGCAATAAATGGCATATATGTTACGAGTAGGCAGCAGTCAACGCATTTTATTCACTGACAATCGGCTCACAGCGCTCAGAAAACTCGCTACTGCGTGCATTGGCATGCGCGTCGCCGGCCTCCTATCCACACTAGTACGGTGACAGTGCTGCTCCCTATAGCCCCATCTCGGGGCGAATAGCTAAAGGTTTGGGCGGCTGTACATAATAATTAGGTTAAATAAATTGCACTGTATTCTAAAGGGAACACATTACTGGCACCAAAGCATTACATACTTTATGGGTATCATTATATTAACCGAAGCACCGTACTGTAATAAATCTCCAAATCTGATGGTCCACATTGAAACAAAGCTGTTGACACTTCTAGCACACCTGTCTTACAACCCACCCGCGTCATGACATGAGCGTCAACTCAAAAGCTTTCGTTCCTTTGAAATATTTCATTTTCTGAGTGGGTTCAATAATGTGTGCTTGAGTGCCGATTAATTACGAAGGCATAAAAACAAACGCAACAATGACACAGTACTTAAACTCCGCCTGCACTTCACCGAACACTTAAGTAAACAAACCTAAAATAACTTCGATAACTGCTAACACGAATAACTCCGGAATTCAACAGAAAAGTGACTCACAGAGTTCGGGGATCTACAAAATTATTTAACGTGCAACACAGCTTAAGCTATGAATAGCATCAGTGCGAGGAAGCAAGATTCCTTAAATAGAACCTCAATAATCCTGTGCCAGCTATGCAAGCATCTTACCGGAACTTCATTAACGTGGCCGAGCGTAACATTTCACACCCCAGGACAAAAAACGAAAAACAGTGATCACAAACAGTCGTACCCTTAACGTTGTCAGTCACCCAAGGAGCTGCGCAGCATTCAGAAGTTTTGCACTTAAGGGCGTTCCACCCGGAATACATAACTGAAACGCCTAGGGCAGCGCCTGCTGCAATTACCGTGGACACTGTGACGGGTTCGAGACCTTCGCATGACCGCCCTAAACTTAGCCAAATACACACAAGTGACACGCACGCAACAGGTTCGCTATAAAATCTCATTACGACTGTCGTTTCCTTAATATTTCGCCTGCCGGTAAAATGGACGATCTATTCAACCTTAAACGCTGTCCGCAAACTATGAAGCAGCCATGTTGAAAAACGAAACTTGATAACAGAGCAGCGTTGCCAACAAGTTGTAAACTTTTCACTTGTCCACGGAAGCAAGATAGTAACGTTGCATCTGGAAGACAAACTCTTTGTTCTGCGCTGGTAACTTGATAAAACGCTTCGTTTGGCGCGTTGGTTCATTCTGAAATAGATTTGCATGCCCGTACAGTCAGCCGTCCTCTCTTCTTGTGTGTTGTTCATTTGTGGTCAAATCTATTCTACGCTGGTACATTGTGTTTATTTAGGTGTTCTGTGTTGGTGCAGCGGCTTAAGTGGTTCGGAGAATCTAGTTCGGAGCTGCTCTTTGATGAATTTGAATGTTGTATGCGAATGATTGAAGAAAGCAAGCTTCAGATAAGGTAGGACCGCTATGTAAAGAAGTGAACTGGCAGCATACAGAAATATCAAATACCCCATCCCTTCATTAATTAATTGGTTTCAGTAATTATTGCATATTCTAAAGGTCGTTTGAGGGCGCTATAACAGTGAAAGACAAAAATTGTGGACGGGATCTGCGCTAGTCCCGTATAAGTATAGAGGCTAGAAGAAAACTTTTCTAGCCTCTATAGTGTAAGTATATTGTGCACAACGCGGGCACGTCCCATTAATTGTTTCTCCTTCTTTACCATGGGCCGCTTATTTCAGTAGCACTGCTTATCGCTATTTTAAATTCATTTGTCAGACCCTGTGAAACAACCTCGCGAATGTACGATTATACAATACAGATATTACTCTATGACAGATGTTTGATGAAAATGCAATGGCAGTGAGGCGCACTAGCTACTGTCGTCTACATAGACGAACTCTGCTTCGAGGCGAAAAGACTGCCGCTGTTGGAGATCATCTGCTGCTGATGTTCTCGTTCACAATTAGCGAACGAAATGAGCCTGGGCAGATCACATAATGCGTTGAAAAGACAATTAACCAGTGGTCAGATTGAACAATGGAATGGTCAACACGCGGCAGTGGACAAAATTCAAATGGTACGAAATATTAATTAGAGTCATAGAGATGTCCTGGCGTTAGGCCACGGTTGCAAAGAGACTAAAGCCACGACATAGTAATCACTATGCAGAGTAGACATGGTAGAGTTACTGCACAGTACTAGGAAGGTTACCTTCCTAATTATTTCCTAAATATTTCCTAATAATTATTTCCTAATAATAAAAAAAATCCTAAATAATTATTTCTTGGTTTTTGCTAAAAGAAACGAGCCCTTCCAATTAGCCTCTCTCACAGATGTGACTCGTATCAGTCGTATGTAGAGACATACCACTTTGCAATCACAGAACACTACTGCCTGTGCTAGCGTTCGTTGTGCTAACGGTGCTGTCAACTTTAGTGTAATATGTCAGAAACGACTGCAAGTATTCCCATAAGGTTTTACGCGCTCACAAAAAAAAATGCCACTAAGTTACACTCTTTAAGCCTAGTTTGTCTAGCCTACCCACGGAGGAAGGACCTTTTCCTTCCTCCGTGATCCTACCCATTCCCAAATTTAAAGGGGATTGACTCAATGGATGGATGAAGAAATTGATGTGGCTGTACTCTTTAGATCGGGCGGTGGCTAGCGCCACCAAGCCACAATACTTAATGAATCAAAAACTAGATTTATTTTTTTTTCTTAAAAAGTGAGTTTGAGGATTCGTACTTTGCAGTGAAGAGTTTAATTTTCACTCGTGCCTTGACTTTAGCCACCAATCAGATAACCTCCTTCTAGTTAAGTCTACCCGCTTAAAGTCTATTTTGCCCTCCCGGTCCCTAAACCCCAGTGCTTTGAAAAACTCTGCGCCATCATCCTGAACTATAGGGTGAAGCCCTTTACAGAACATTATCAAGTGTTCGGCAGTTTCTTCTTCCTCTCCACACGCACTGCATACTGTGTCTACCCCTTCGTATTTGGCCCGATATGTCTTGGTTCGCATTTGCGGGTATAAATTGGCAGCAGCAAGCACAGGACCGGGTTAACTGGCGGAACACGGGAGAGGCCTTTGTCCTGCAGTGGACGTAGTCAGGCTGATGATGATGATGATGATGTCTTGGTTCGCAATACTCCCGTCCTGGCCTCAAACAGTAGAGAACTACCACGAGTATTATCATATATCCTTTGCTTGGTAATTTCCTGCTTAAAAGTTTGATAGATCTCTAGTGCGGACTTCTTAATCATGCCAATTTTCCACATATGGTCTCGGTTTCCTTCACCTTCTTTTTAACCGATAGTTCTTTTTGGTTTGGCCACCTGCTGTTTCCTAAGTATTTACCAGTCAATTTCCTAGTTCGCTTCCTCCATTTTGTATAGACATTCTTCATGTACAAGTAGCTGAAAACCTTCCTAGCCCAACCCTCCTCCCCCATTTCTCTCAATTGTTTCTCAAATTTTATCTTGCTCCTAGCTTCCCTGCCCTCAAATGATGTCCATCCCGTATCACCTTTTACTCCCCGATTTGGTGTATTCCTGTGAGCTCCTAAATCAAGCCTATTTATTGCTCGTTGCTTAATTTCTAATCTTACTTGAACCTCTGATCTCATGCACAAGACCGCATTGTCCAAAGTCAGATCAGGAATCATGAGACCTTTCCAAATGCCTCTTGATCACCACATCATACCCATTGAAATTCCACAGTGCCCTATTTTTCATCTCCGCTGCATTCCCGTTCTCTTTAGTCGCTACGTGTATTTCGTGTTCCCTTAGGTTCTAAACACAAGCAATGGGACCAATTACCATACGCCCAGATATTAGTATTTATTCATTATCTCTAGCGTAACCTCCTGTCTCGTGCCTCCCGATTTTTCTTTACTGACTGTGATCGTTTAGAAAAAAATGTCTAACGATTTCGAGTACTTTGTATTTAACTGTGGGAGAGCACTGAGCCGTCCCGCTAAAAAAGTAGGTGCACAAAGGGAATTTTTATTCAACGAATAACACGTAGTCAATATACACATACACTTCTCATAACATTGTACATAGTTGAATTTTTATAAACTTATCAGGAATGTTGACAGGGGCGCTGTGGCCGTATATTGTTGCTCAAATGAACAGGACATGTATTGTGATTGTGGACATGGTACAAAATAGCGTATGGGTACTGGCGATTCATACTGATACAATATATTGGAGCGTGTCATTATACAATGGCGAACATGTATATAATGGCTTAGCATGCAAGCATGCCCTTTCTTTTAACAGTGTTCACCCCGCAGAGTACACTCATGCACTACCTTATGGCTAACTTATTTAGACATAGTAAAGGGTGGGTTTGCAACTCTTTTGCCCCCCCCCCCAAAAAAAAGGAAAGTAAAAGAAAAGCCAGGTGGGGAGGGGTTAATAAGGCGTGACTGGGCTCAACAGTCTGCCGTTCTTTAAAAAGAAAAACCTGTGTGTTTAGAAAAAGTTGTTTACGATTTAGAGCAATTGGTACTCTACTATGGGAGAGCTTAAAGCATGTTATCCATTGCAGACTCGTACAGTTTGTGCGCAATCGATAAGTAGCGGAAACAGAAGTTCATCTCTTTTTCATAAGCCTCCGTAGTTTATCCAGGCTATGCTCAAGAAGTCACATGTCCAGCCGAATTGACTAATTAGTAATCGGTACCGTTGAAACAGTTTTGAAATTGAAATTACGTTTCTATTCTAACCTTTATTGAAGCGGCAACAAGTAAAAATATTGTTTAGAGTGGTACTTTTTTTTACCTCTGTAACACGATCGAGACGAGCCTTTATTTTCTCACCGAATCCGGGTAACTGGAATCTGAGGAAGCTTTCACCCTGCTTGTTCATTAAACGTCTCCCTATGCCGTAGTAACACACGCTATGACATTTTATCTCTAGGCGAGCTTGTTGCTGTCAAGGCGCATGGTCAACGTGGTTCTATAAAACCTCTGGAGTGGCAGTCCTGGCCGCCGTCAACGGAAGCAAGTGAAGCCGCTAGCGGCCATATCCGTCTGTCTGTCTGTCTGTCTGTCTGTTTATCTATCAAATCGCCTACGCCTGGGTGCCCTCACGATCACCCCCTTAACTTAGGGTCTTCGAAATACTTTGCAATAAGAGCCAAATGTTCGTGAAACGTCAATGCTGGTTCCAGTGTTGACTATCCAATTTGCTGCATATATTTAGCGCCACTTCATAATGTTTCACTTAATAAAAAATTACAACAGAGTCACCTTGCATAGCATTGATTCCCAAGTTACGAGGGATCTGCGTCTTTTTTTTTTTTTTTTTTGCGATCAGTAGTGGATGGCGAAATGTATGCCACGGCATGATCTCCATCTGGTATTGCAAAGTGCCAGTACTGTGAAAGCAATCAAGTAGTTCTTATACAATAAATATTTATGTAGAAAAACACTCCGAAAATGCAGGAAAATAATAGTTGGCCCCACGCGGCTCGGCCTCCTGCAGGCTTCGCAGCACTCGCGCAGCGCAAGGATTGAACGCAAATGCACTCACTTAACTTGTTTCATCTAGGGACCTTACACTCACTCGCACAGCAGCGCACCATGCGGGCGCTGCCGGCAGTCATCAGCTACGGGGACATCTGGTAGCCCGCGCTCAGCACACTAGGCAGCACGGAGGAAGGAAAGGTAAGGAGTGGGCATGCCAAGCCGGCGCAGGGCTGCGCAGGGCGTAAAAAACATTCGCTCGCAGGATTTCAAGCTGGACGGTTGTGCCCTCGCGATCTCCGACGCCAGCGTAGCTCCCGCTGACTGGTTCGCCCTCCGCGGTCTCCTGACGCCGTGCAGCTCTCACCTTGTGGCGCCCCGCCCTTGGACTGCTTCGACCGGATCCCCACTTTCCTATCTCCTTTTTTTTCCGTCGCTTGCCTGTCTTCTTCTTCGTCTATTTTCCTTCTTTTCTTTTTATCCCTCCTTCCCCCCACCCCTATAAGGCACTGCGCCGTGTCGCCTGAAGGCAGACAGAAATTAGGTGCCTTTTTCTCTTCCTTCTAACCACTACCACCACCACCAGGGCGTAAAAAATGTGGCGGAAATTACGTCACGCGCGGCCATATTCACTAGGCACAATGGCGGCGT